TAGGAGTAAAATATTCTCTTAATCATTTTAAATTCTCTACAGAGAAATCAGTAATAAAGTTCTAATGTGTTATATCTATTTAACTTATTCTTAAAAAGTTGTATTATTTTAATGTAATCATATTTCTAATATATTTTATATGTAAGCATTTATAATATTTACACATTTTATGTTTAATATAAATTGCATGGTTATACTATGGTTTACTAGTGAATGCTTTACTAGTGAAGCAAATACATACAACTACACATTATTTTTAACAAAAAGTGGATTAACAAAAAAATCCACAAAACTTAAGTTTAAAAACATTTTGTTTCATCCATCCTACTCTCTTTGCAAAACAGAACTGCTAGAATATAATACTGGTAAAAGAAAACAAAATTCCAATCTTATTATTTGTTATTCTTGGGCTCCTCCCAGAATCAAAAATTTTTTAATTGCTATTTTCCTTCTTGGCATATATTAAACCACAAAATTCAATATTTTATAAGTTTTAATTTATTTGATCAAAAGTAACGTAAAAATAAACTTTCCCACTGCAATACTCAGGAAGTCTTTAGCTTTAGTTGAACAGAAGCCCATAATCTAACTAACATATTACCTTACTTATAGGATCCTCTCTTTAAATTTGTCTCATAAAACCAGATAATTTGTACTGACACAATTTCAAAAGATGCAAATGTAGTGTAAAGAGAAGAACCTAAATGTGGTGCAAAGTACCATTTTATTCTCACATCTAGTATTATTAGCATTACCAGATGGTGGGGGAAGAAAAGTGAACTGAAATTTCACACTTCTGCCTTTCACGTGATATTTGCACAGCCCTTACCAGTAATGCATACTGGACGGTAGGTTACATTTTTAACAATAACTTACTCTATCTAAATCTAAATTCCCCTTCATTTAGACATTGAATCTCAGAATTAGAAAATATACACCATGATGACTGGTTTCACCAAATTCACAACCCCAAATCTCAAATGTGTACTCAACCTGCCAAACCCCTTTCTCTACTTCCCTGGGAGGTTCAGTCTCTCAATTGTCAAAACCTTCTCTTCTTTCAATTTCTCTTTTCTCAATTGTCCACTTTCTCTTCTTTCCATAAATTTCCAATAGCTTTCCCTCCCACTCTCTATCTGATGACTCTGCCTCATGTTTCGTTTATAACAGACCCACGCAAATAGGAACTCCTCCGTCTTTGCCCCCAGACCTCCATCTGCATCACACTCTGCTGTGGCCTCTTTATAGTGGATGAAAGCTAAATCACTCCCTAGTGGTTCTTTCCCCACTCCCTCTCGCCCACAAAGATGTTTCTTTTGCAATTCTATTCTCACTTGACTTTTCCTTTTGTGGTGGAAAATGCAACCCCTTCTTTGACCCTCTCTCTCCTTCCATGATAGAGTCTACTAGTTGCCTAGTATTAATACATATTGATTCTTGCTTTTCTTTCTCAAATGGCCCAGTTTTAGTGAGCACACTGAAATCCAGCTCAAAGACTTTTCGGTCTCCCTGGCAGCTAAGTGTGGCCATGTACATGATCAGTAACACAACAGAAGTGAGTAGGATTCTGGAAAGTTTCTTTAAAAGGTTAAGAGTAGCTCCGTCTCCCTGTCCTCCATTTACACTTGGAATATGGAGATGAGGCCAGGCTTTTCAAATCCAATTTATCATCCGTTTATCAAATCCAATTCTCTGCCTTCATCTTCATCTCTCAGCAGCATTAGACACAGTTACTGCCTCACTCATTCTTGAAACACTGTTTGATTTCTAGAAATCTATCACATCTTCATTTCTTTCTTACCTCACTGGTCACTCCTCAGATTCTTCATGCTGCCTTCCTGACTTTGACATATTTTAACGTTAAAACCCTCTTCTCTTAACTCCACTCACTCTTTTGTGGTTATTTTACACCTATGGTTTTAAATACCATTTCAACTGCAATGACAGCCTGAACTCCAAATTCATATATCTAATCTAGATGAACAGTAACTCCGCACAGATGTCTAAAAGACAACTCAAAATTTACTTGGCCAAAACAAAACTCTCTGCCACTGTCCTAACTGTAGCCCTTCCTATCTCAGTACACACTCGCCACACCATCTACTCGGGGGCTCTATGCAAAAACTACAGAGGCATCTTTAACTCCTCTCTTTTCCTCCCAGCCCCACCGACATTCATCAGCAGTTCCTGCTGGCTTGGCCTCCAAAATACACCACCACTTCTCTCCCTCCCCACGGCCACCACTCAGGTACAAGCCAACATCTCTCTCCCCAGACCTCTGTGATGATGACCCGTGATTCCCCCAGCATCTGTTTTCTAAGCAGCAGCCAAAGTAATCTTTCAAAGTGCAGCTCTGATTATGTCTCTTCTCTGCTTAAACGCTTCCAGTGATTTCTACTGCCTCTCAGAATGAAATCTAAACTTCCCGCACAGCCTGCAGGTGACCCCCCCAGCTTCCCCTGATTTCATTTCCTGCCATTCTTGTCTCAGGTGCTGCGCTTCAGCCACACTGGCTTTATCTTTTTTTCCTATCTTCTGAACACCTCAAGCTCTGGAATGCTTTAGGAATTTCAACACTAGCTAAAATGTTCTTTCCCTGGGTCTTCTCACTACCAGCTTTCTTCATCCTCAGTCCAGGATCATTCAGGCAAAGGCAGCTTTCCTCAGTCACTGGCTCTCATGTCACTCCTCTCCCTGTGATTTCTTCATAGAAAATTATGTTGCTTATTATTTATTTATTTATTTATTTTTTACTACCTGTAAAGTGCATGAGAGCAGGACTTTACACAGTTTATTTACTGCTAGATTGCCATAGTCTGGAACAGTATCTAGCAAGCAGAATGTGCTTACTAAATTATTTTCTGAATGAACCAAGACAGAGTAACAAAATTAAAACTCAGTTTGAACCATTATTCCAATGTTTAAAATTCTTAATAACAGACCTAAGAAACAGTTGACCATCCTTTTTGGGCATTTAATAACAGTGATCTCACTCCTCCTGAGGGAGATAATTCTCCCTTAATAACTTGGATTATTCAAGTTGAAGTCAACTACCTACATACAGGTTCTGCACATTTGTGGAGGCCCCTGTATTCATGCAGAACACATAGCTTCCGCTGCACACATGACAGGGATTCAAACATCTGGAGATGGTGACTATCCCTTCTCTTGGCTGAAGAGTCCTAATCTCCTTAACAACTCTTCACATGGGACTCTTCACATAGTCTTATCACTATCCTTCCACACACTCCAAGATTGCCCTTGGACATAGTCACATACCTGGCTATCAACCATGTCACGATTATTCAACTGTGGCTCAATTTTTCACTACTCATCTGGCTGGATCAACTGATCTCTTTCTTAGGGAGCACAGGCTGATTTAAGTTAACCCTTACCTCCTTCCAATTCAAGTTCACACACAATCTCCAATCCACAGATCTTTCATAGCATCTAGTGCTTACTACTTCTATAATCTTGGTACAGTACAGTTACTCCTCATCCTCTTCTGAGATTTCCATGCCATTTAGCTTTCCCCAACACAAGATGCTTGCCCTTTTCCTTGGAGAAAGGCCTTTTGGCCCCCTCTCTTGTATAAAGGTCCTGATTTTCCACCCATGTAAATTAAAAATATAAGCTACCTTAATTTTCACATAGATAGCCAGATTCAACTGAGGAAGACCAGTGATATTTCTGGCCAGCAGCAAGGGAGTCACAAAAAGGAGATGCTCTTCTGTGGCTACGTCAGAACACATCTGAACCCGGATGGGCAAGGCAAAGCTAGTGTAAACTGGAACAGTCCTTGATATACCATTCCTACATTCCCTGCTGGGGACAACACAACACCTCAACACTATTCACTTCCTTATTCCTCTAAGAATAGCCAAAAAAAAAAAAACAGGAATTATGCCAAATCAGAATAAGGGTTATTTTACACCATTGTGCACAGCAGTACCTTTTATAGAACCATCTAGAATCTAATTTTACTCCCTTTGCTTCCAAAACACACCAGCATCTCATTTAAATCATTCAGGTAGAGTAATAACTGTTAGGGAGTTAATGATTTAGGTAAAAAAAAAAAGGAAAACACAGTTTGGTCATTTGAAAACACTGTATTTCAGCAGTGTGTTAACATTCTGGTAAAGACAGTAGCCTTATGGAAGCAGGCTGAAGATTAAACTTTATTAACACTCTCTGAAAGAGTTCAGGTAATGCCCAGGGGGTCAAACACTAACAGCAAGATGACTAGAATAATCCCTGGTATTTGACTGGCCATAATTTAGAAACAAAACAAAGTTAAAAAAAAAAAATCTATAGGCTAAAATATGCTTCAGTAAATTTTTTAATGTTTATACATATTTTGAGAAGAAATACTTTGTAACAAAGTGCCACATTGGATCAGTCTACTGGGATTCTGTCTCTGACAAGTGTAGCAAAAGATAATTTGTGGGAAATGGAGGTTGTGACTTCCTATCATATCTGCCTCAATAGATTAAAACATCACCTCCTTAGTTCTTCCTTGCTCCTTAATAATGTGCCAAGTATTTGTCCTTTATAAAATCAACCTAATCAATATCTGATCAAATTTTATTTTTAATGAACATATGTCCCTAAAGCTCTTGGTAGCATAGCGCTTCTCAGTTTCAAACCTATGCAACTGAGTCAACAGTCTCATCATCTCATCTAGAACCAGATGATTTTAGAGCAAATGCAAGTATCTATCATCCTTTTAAATCTTTATTTCACTAGTGAAATAATGTATTATGTGCCTGCCTCTGCCTCTCTATGGAAAAATGCAGGAAGTATTATCTCTTCTAATATAATTCTGTTCTATTTACTCTAAACAGTTATCACTTTTAAAGTGATAAGAACAGTTTTTAAAATCTGTTCTTAGAGGAATGCTCCTAGTCCTGGCATTCACTAGAGTTGTCCTTTTACGAACCTCCACAAAGTCCAGATAAGAATATAAACAATCAGTAAAGTCGATTTAAAACTCAACTCACAACACTGTGTGATCTTCTGGATGTTGGAAGAGATACGCTGTGCCAGCTGGGCAGGATCGCCACCAATTCCTGGAATGTAAGACATGACTGCTTTGCTTATTCGCTAATTTCATCAGATGTTGGCGGGCTGAGCAGTTTTCTTAAGCAGTCACCTAAAGAATAGGAAAGAAAAACCATATAATTATATTTTTAAAGTCATCAGCTCACATTTTCCAACTTATCAATCTGGGAGGTTACAAGAACAGACCTGATTAACCCAATAGAGTTGAAATCTGGCAACTAGCGCCTCAGATAGCGAAACTCTCATGTCTATTAAAAAAAAAAAATGGAGAGAGTCATGTTAAACATGTTAAACCATTAAAATAGGTTCAAATTATATATTCCCTTTGAAAATTTCAAATTTAATTATTTATAAATTTTTTCCTTAACTAAATGTGAACAATTATAAGTCAGGGCCCACATGCTATTTATCTTTCCATAACATTTAAAACAACTCTTAGCACAGAAAAGGCATTTAAATATTTATTAAATGGAATGCAGACTTCAGGCTATCACTAGAAATTTCATTACATCTAAGATAACACACACAGGAACAGCTCAGGAACATATGACTAACAGGTCTCTAATTTTAACAGGAAAGGTTAAATTTGAAATAGCAGAGCCAACTACTGAGAAGAGAAAGAATGTCCTATAAAATGCTCATCACACATTCCTGGCAGAGCAAGGAGAAAGAAGGACTCTCCTCCCTCTTCCAGCAGTCAGCATCTCAGGATAAAAGGAATACTGGGATACCACTACAGGAAGGAGGAAAGATGACCCTTTCCTTCTTCAATCCACACCACACCACTCAGGGTTTGGAAAGAAGGTTGAAAAGAGATGTCCCTGCATACAGAACTATGCACAGCAAAGAATTTCAACTACTCTTACCCCATCTTTCACTGAGCGTGCAGAGGAATACTGCCACGTTGTTGGTGGTCAGTTAGTAAGCCAAGTCACTGCTAAGAGCCTGCTACAAGCCCAGCTTTAAAGTAAGCACTTAGGAGATGCAAACAAAGCAAAACAAAACAAACAAAAAACAATGATAAAATATCTATGCAAATCAAGTTTGTCATATAGGAGAAAAGTTTAGCATAAAGTTAATAATGTAAACCAACAAAAAAATTCAAATCAATATAAGGTTACATGCTAGGCAAAAGTGAGAGTGATTAGAAAAATGAAACATCACTATCGCTCTTGCCTAGAAAGAATTTATGAAACAGAAATGTATCATCTGGATACTTGGGTATGACAAGTGTGAAGAAAAACAAAGGCAAGGACATGAAGACTAGGGTGGACAGACCCAGAACATATGGAAAGGGCACACACAGTGTGGTATTTACAAAAGGAAGGGGAGGTTCCTGGCCAACCATGGATCAGATGATTCATGGCTGGGGCAAGTGGGAGATGACACAGAAAAGAAAAGTGAGGAATGACTTAACATTCATCACACATCTGTGAAATGAAAAGTATTTCACATAGACTAATTTAATTTTCACAACCTCCCCCTTAAAGTAGGCAGCATTATGCTTGCTTTAGTAATGAGTAAACTGTGGCTTATAAAGATTAAGTAACCAGTCCAAGGTAATACAACCCACAGGTAGAGGTGGGATTCAACCCCAGGGTTCTGATTCCCAAGCTACACAGGCTTGCTACCACACAGAACTAGGTTTCAAGAAGAAACTACTAAAGATTTCTGGCAGGGGAAAGAGGTCACAAAGAAATATGTGTTTTGTTCTAACAGATAGTATTGGTAGGAAGTACAATACTTGAACTGTTGAGACCAGCAGAAGAAAAGGACAGGTTCCACGCCTAGAACTCCAGTGCATCACAGAATGTGCCTGGCCACCCTGAAAGTCCAGGGAGCTTTAAAATGCTCTCCAATCTCCCTCATTGTTCTATAAGTCCAGTTTATCTACATGTCCAGTTTATCTACTCTGGCTTCCACCAAACCCTAGAGATAGACTCAAAACCAATTTCATAAAAGGACAAATTCAAACTTCAAGTTAGACAGCTGGACCATTGCAGTGGGGCGGCAGAAATAAACTTTCTTCCAGATAGCCCTGGACTCGGACCCAGACAGAACAAGACCAGACTGGGGGATTCAATGTGGCCAACACTAACCAAGCACTACAAATCACCAACTGGATCTCGAAATTCTGCATTAAAAAAAAAAAAATGATCTCATTGAGCTATACAATTCACATATCACATAACTCACTCATACAATCCTATTTTTTTTTTTTTTTGGTACCACACTGTTTTATTTCAATCTGCAAACAACATAAAAAGATGATCACTTCTGATGCCAAACCATGTACATAGTAATAAAGGAACCGAAAAAGACAATTAACAACAAAACCATTAAAGAAACAAATGTTTCACATTTCCCATCAGTGCTTTAGCAGTACTGGCAAGCATTTCTGGTCAATGCTTCCAGCAGCAGGGATCTGGAGAAAACCCCTGATCTTAGCAAAAGTACAACCACATTTTCTCCCTGACAGCTTATATTCCAAGTCACTCCACACCACACTGCACTACTCGACAGACTTTTGTAAATCTCATCTGAAGATGTAACTAGGTATTGTGCATGCTCATAATGAAAACTAACTAAAAACAAAAAAGAGAGTGGCAGACAAGTAAACAAAGTGTCCAGTAAAGCATCAGGATACCATTGCTGGCTGGGCCCTTCATTTTACTGGCTTAAAGAAAAGTTTTCATTTTCATTTCTCAATAAATCCAATATTCAGAAGCTTAACCAGCAGGCTCAAGTCAAAGGTTTTAAAGACAGTCCCCTCATTTCCCCCTTTTTTGGCAGGAGGGTGGTGCGTGTGTGTGTGTGGAGGGTGGTGCGTGTGTGTGTGTGTGTGTGTGTGTGTGTGTGTGTGTGTGTGAATGTTTCATATAAAACATGAAATCAAGCTCTACTTCATTAGAAAAACTGAATATTTTATTAGTAAAATTATATGCATATATTTCACTTTTTAAAAATACATTTAATAACAATACTTCAGAAGAATAGATTTAAATACCACCCCTCCACCTCCCACCCTGCCAGTTGTCCACTCTGGCACAGACATATCAAGGCAAAGACTCTAGAGAGGTCCGTCCTCTCCAGGAGCAACACCACAATCACGACTGTCAGATTTTTTAAAAAATATATTCCAAGTTATACATCCATCACAGCATCACTTTCAGAACACTTTCATTACTCTGAAAAGAAAGCCCATACACATTAGCAGTCATTCCTCACTTCTCCTCACCAGACGAAACAGTTTATCTCTTTTATGTCCTTGTAGGTTTGCCTATTCTGGACATTTCATATGAATGGAATCATACTGTATGGGTCCTTTGTGACTAGCTTCTTTCTCTTATCATGTTTTCAAGGTCCATCTGTGTTGTAGCATGTATCAGTACTTTATTCCTTTTTATTTCCAAGTAATAGTCCACCACATGGATAAAGACGACTTCCCTTGCTCAATGACATCTTCCTTTCCTCTGGAAGGACTAGCTTACAGCCAACAGAAACATATTATAAAAGAAAATGCTTGTTTCTTATTAATATACTCTCCTTGGGGAGCTCCTCCACCTTCACGGTTCCATTTTATTATACACGAATGAGTCTCACAGGTAGACTATATCTCTCCAAGTCATATTCTTAACTCTCTCTAGTGTCTACATGTCTGGCAACCAGAAATCTCTACCTTAGGTGAGACACTTAGCATTAGGGCCTGCTGCCGGGATCAAGAAGAGATAAAGTACATCCAGGGACCAAGTGCTTTTCCACCCTACACAGAGGAAAGGTATGATCTGCTCTTAAATCTGCAGGGCCAGCTTCAGCATGAGACTATGAAAACCTCCCTTGCCTCAGAATCACACAACCACACAATCACAAAAGGCCTACTCTCTCCCTCAAAGAGTGAGTATAATCTCTCTGTGATTACAAGCATAGTATTGTAGCATTTTCCTTAACCCTCAAAACTCATGCCAGTCTAGCTTAAAAGTCTTCTCATTATTTTCTTTTAAGCCCACCTCTCCTCTCCAGAAAATCTACCAATTTCGTCACAAACACAGTTTTTCTCAACCCTTTTACTCAAACAACTAAATTTTAAAAAGTTTCTGCTGGTGAGATAACTGAGCTTCATTCACCCAAAGAGCTGCTACTTTTGGATTGTCTGGAATTTCCTTAGAGAAAGGGCACAAAGGTGACCAGTTCAGTCTTGTGTGAATAATGTAAAACAATTTGCTAGATGGAGAGCAAAGATATGTAAAAATAAAACAAGATTAACACTGGCCAACACTTCAACAGGACTTACTATTTATGAAGCATTGCAATTAGGACTTTTACATTTATTTTCTCAGTTAATTCTTACCACAAGCCTATGAGATAAGTATAATTACTATTGTGACTTTTTTATACAAAGAAACTGAGGCATAATGAGAATAAGCAAAAGAGCTAAAACTTGAAACTAAATTTTAGAACCCATATTTAAAACATTAAACCATAATGCTTTCTTGTGTAACAAAATTAAGGTCAGGAGAACTCATTCAATTACAAAAACCAAATTTACCACCTTTCTACAGGCCCCATATGAAGTTTTGCTATCCCACCTCCTAAGATGAAGAAATAGGTTTGGGATAGCTACATCAGTTGATCAAGGTAACACAGCAGAGCAGCTTTCTCCTTTTCTCTATTATTCTGCTAATAAAGTGAAAACTAAAAGTCCACAATGGTTGGCTCTTCTGATGATAAGATGTGAGAAATAAAGGGAGCCAAATGGCTATATTTATTGTAAAAAAATATGCACACAAATACATATATAGATAACCAACTATAAACTGACTTAAAAGTTTATGATCTTTGCATACAGGCTAAATGAATGCCAAGTTATTCAGATGTTTCCTTTCCACATCAGTCTGGAGTACCTAGCCCAGAGCTGCTATGTATAAAAATGCTCTTATTGAATATTTGTGAAAGCACATTCAGAATTCCTAGTTTCACTGCTCAGACTAATAATTATATAACTTACTATCTAGACCTGCACTGTCTGATAAAGTAGCCACTAACTAAATGGGATATTAAAATTAAAATTATAGTGGTCACTAAAGGGAGGGGATGGGAGAGGGGAGATAGGAAAAAGTTGGTTAATAGACACAAAGGTACAGCTAGACAAGAGGAATCAGTTCTGGCGTTCTATAGCACTAAAGGGTGACTAGAATAAATATTTTTTATATACTTTCAAATAGCTAGAAGAGCAGACTTTGAATGTTCTCAACACAATGAAATGATAAATGTTTGAGGTGATGAATATGTTAACTACTCTGATCACTACACACTGTACACATGTATCGATATATCACATGTGCCCCATACATATGTACAGTTATGTGTCAATTAAAAATAATAAAAGCAAAAGAAATCTTATAAAAGGCTACTTTAAGCTAACAACTTACCTTTGATTAAATTTAAAAACTACATTGTTCCTCTGCTCCCTCCCACATTTCATGTTTTTGATGTCACAATTTACATCTTTTTATATTGTATATCACTTTTGTATTGCGCCTACTTTTTAAAATTAAACTTAACTAAAATTAAGCTAAAAAAAATTCAGTTCCATAGTCACACTAGACACCTTTCAAATGCTGAAAAAATTGTATGTCCCTAGTGGCCAGCAACTTAGCTCATGTACAGACCATTTCTGTCATCACAGAATGTTCTATTGCACAGTGCTCATCACAACATCTCAATAATTATCTTTCTCTGAAGAGATACAAACACTATAAAAAGAAAGAGGGGAAGGGAGGATCAAAGTGCAATGCTCATAATGAGAGTCTTCTTAAGACTGCGAGTAACAAACACAAAAGAATGAACAAAGGAAATTTTAAAATGGACTCTTAAAGTGTCAAACACTCCCCTCAGTTACTATTGGATATATTATGGAATGCTTAAGATTTCTATTAAACATAAATCTCATGCTTTATAAATTCAGACTGCACAAAGAAATGGTCATTTTCACTTTCTTAATCATGAGCGCCAGCATAAACAACTGGACTTCCCTCCACCCTGTGTCCCCAAATCTCAAGTCACTGGGGGAGAGGGGACAGTTTTTTGTTTATTTTGTAGACTGCTCTATTCTCAGTACCTGGATACACCATACGTGCTTAATAAATATTTGAAGAATGAATAAATAAATATACCTGCTTCCTAAGAACACACACCTTATTTGTTAAATATTACCATTTCTGAAACACTGAATTCCAGTGCCTTCTTTCAGATCCTAAATGTCCCAGGCTTCTTGGTGCCTTGAGCCTTTGCTGGGTGACATTTCCTATCTCTAGAAGGCTCTTCCCATGATCTCCATGTGACTGGCTTCTCCTCTGCAAGATCTCATCACATGCTTGAGAAGCCTCCAGTGAGCACTCTGATCTAAAGTGAGAACTCACCACCCCACCACTCTCCGTCAATCTAACTACTTCATAACTCTCATCACTAATTAATAAGAATAAATAGTGTAATTAGGTCTAATAGCATAATAGATCTAATTAGTATACTGTTTATTATCAATCCCTACTTTTGGAACATAAACAAGAGAGAGACAACCTTGTCATCTTGTGGTATCTACAGTGCCCAGAACATAGATGGTAACTGAATGTGAAGGTGCTCAGTCTACAATATCTCTCTATACCAACTATAACTGCATTCTTTAGCTCAGCTAAAGAACTATTTACACTATTTGCTTTTAGTTCACAATACCAAGGATTTCCTTTCACCCTTTCACACACTAAACTTTCAACCTAAATGGAATCATAGCAAACTTTACCCAGGCTTTCTGTGGATGTTTTCTACAATTTAATTTGTAACCACCAGCTCTCTGGCTGAAGTTTGGGATTATAACCAAAATGGATCTGTTATGAGAAGCAGCATAAGTCAAACATCAGAAGAAAAATGATGTAGACATTAATGAGTTAATATGGTGTTGTATTAACTTCTACAGAAAGGTTGAAACTGGAGCACAATTCTTAAGGAGTCACGCGTCTGAGGCCAACTTCTCAAAGTGGCTTGCAAAGCAGAGGCTCGTTCGCATCACAAGACACACTTCTCAGCTCTGGGCACCTCAGAGCAGAAGAACCGACCACCTCCAACATTACTGAACAGCACAGCACTTCATCATTCCTACCTTTCCTTCCAGATCTGGGGCAAGTTTTAAATTATATATAATTACAGTCAGAAATGACTTGAAGTAAAGAAAAATTAATGTATTTACAAATAAGAGCCAAGCAGATGTAAAAAATTTGTTTAAATGTATATACGGCTCGCTTGCTATAGCCATGTATTTTTCAGTTCCTCTCTCTCTATTCGGGAAGAGAAGTCTAAAGTGTGTTTTTCAAGCCGAGAGTTAAAAAGAGGAAGAGGTCAACTGGCCGTGTCTTGCTCGAGGCGGAACCTGGATCCCAAGACTGGGCCCGAGCCGGCTCCGGCGCCCGCCCGGCCCGGTGCGCGCCACTGGCCCCGGCGCCTCGGGAGCGCGGCCCGGGCACCGCCTGACCCCGCGTCAGGAATGCGGAACGCGCCGCGCACCCGCACCTGGCCGGGGCCGTGCGGCGCAGCGGCGCCCGGGAGCCCGGGCAGCGCCGGCCCTTCGCCTCGCGAGCGCCCGCCTCAGAGCGCAGGGCGGCGGCCAGCTGACAACGCGCACGCATTCGGCGCGGCAGCCGCGGTGGCACCGCGCCTCCGAGGCTCGCCAGGCGTCTCTTACCCCGACCTCCAGGGCTTCCTCCTCCTCCTCCTCCTCCAGCCGGGGTCACCCTCCGGCCCCAGAGCCCCCAGGGCCAATTCTCAGCTGATGGGCGGCGGCGCTGGGACGCCCAGTGCGCATGCCCCTAGCTCAGCCCAGGTTAGGAGGTGGGGCTAGCCCCTCTCCCATTGGCCCGTGCGGCTGAGTGACGGCGGCCCTCTCCCGCCCCCTCTGCTTCCGAGCTAAGGAATGGGGGTATCAGCAAAATTGCAACGGAGCTGTTCACTGAAGCCTGACGTGCAGATGGTGAACGCCTTAAGCGGCGTGCAGAACAGAAGAGGAGGGAATGGAGGGCAGTTGCCTTCTTTATCGGGTGAAGCCAGCCTCCCCGGACTCGGGTCTTCACCCCGCCCCATCGGCTCATGCCTGTTTTGTTTCCTGACGTATAACTCTGCAGTAGACCATATTCTCAGCTCCACGTAAAAAACGCAAACGCGAATACGCAGTCCTAGCAGGAACAATGAAGGGATAAATGAAGAGTCACCTTAGGGTGCTCCCTGAGTCGACAAGTTTTCCAAGCACGTACAAGTCTTTCTAAGCACACTTGGAAGGCAGGGCGTAGTTTCCACAGGGTTCGAAACAAGCAGACATGGTTCCAATGGTAAATATTCAAACAATTGTTACACGAAGAGCATCAATGGCTTCAAGTGAAAGAAACACCTCACCAAGCGAATTGGAAGATGAACTGGCTTAGCCTTTGCCTATACTTAAGGCAACGCTATTTTCTGAAAGGATGGACCCTCAAGGGCATGTGACATCGAAAGTCCAGACACACATGAACACAAATGAGCGATGTCAGCCGGGACTAAGAAAGACAAGGGTTTCACAGTCTGTTTTTCATTTTTCTGCTTTTGACAGAAAAATGGGTACAAGAAATGTGTCCTTTATCTTTTCTATACTGACGAAAACGACCGCGCAAGTGTGACGACCGTAACAGCCTTCGCTCGGCCTCTGTGCAACCGGGCGACAGAGAGAGGGAGGCGCGTTTGCTGACCTCGCGGAAGGCGCGCGCCCGCCGAGAGCGGCGCTGCGATTCTGCCCGAGCCCTCGTGGGCGTTTAAAGGCATATCGGCCCAATACACTGAAATCATAATATCTGCTGTTTCAAGATATGGTGGAAATTCAGATTTTTATGTCAAATCTCTCCCTTTTTTTTCTTCATATTCTTAAATTTCTATAAAACATTCGGTGATCAGTCAAAATATGCGTTTCGACCTCTATAATGAGCGTTGAGTGTCAACCATTAAATCTGGAGAGGCTCTCACAGAAAATCTAGCTCTACTTCCTCATTTCACAGATTAAAAAAGTGAAACACAAAGAAACTTAATCGAAGTCATGTAAATAATTATGAGTAGCACAGGTCCAGATAGGCTAATTCAGAATCTGCAGGTTTTTCTCTCCCATACCATTCGTTCAGTAAATGTTCATTGAGCGGCTGCCAGGTATTGTGCCAGGCGCTGTAGATACCAAGATGAGTAGGATATAGAATTTCCCTCAAGGAGCTCAAAAAGTAGGATCCTTCCCAGGACACTGTAGGAGGTGCTATGATACAGATTTGTACAAAGCACCATGAAAGCTCAGTGATGGAGGTGCCTTATTGTGAGGTCAAGGACAATTCTAAAGAAGAAGTGTTAACAGAATCTTGAAAGATGTTCACCAGGAAGACAAGGTGGCAAAGGGCAATCCAGGCAAAAAGAAGAGCACATGGAAATTCATAATATCATAGGCAAGTGCAAACTTTTAGGGATCTGTATGTAAGCTCATTTCGATGAAACATAGTGAATGGATTGCAGGAACATGAGACTAGAAAGGCAGGTGGAGTTCTTATAATGAAATGCCTCTATGTCATGTTAAGCAACTATCTAACAGGAGTTGAACTATTAAAAGATGTTAAGCAAGGGTGTGATGTGCTCATAATTCCATGCAATGAAGAAAACTCTGGGGAGGTGGGGGAAATTATAAGGAAACAACACTGAGACTGAACGCAGAGAGACCATGGAAGAGGCTGTTGTAATAATAGCACGTCCCCAGTAAGAGTCTTCCCGATATCAGAAATATTGAAGGACTGCACAGGAAAATACACTGGAGAAGAGGTAAAAACTGGCTTCAGAAATGTTTAAGTAGACTTGGAAATCAACTAGATATGGAGTTTGAAAGAAATGACTCCTACTCTTAGGACACATGAAACTGAGCTGAACATGATGTCACTCCCTGAGATCTAAGATTGCTAATACAGCAAAATCAGTTTGAGGATGCATGTGGTAAAGTGACAGAGCAAAGTGACAGTAACTTTAGCTTTGGATTTGTCATATTTAAGATTCTGGGGAAGTGATTTCCAGTCGGAAATGTCCAGTGTCCTACAGGTACTTGAAAATATGAGCTGGAGTTCAGGACAGAATTCTGAATGGAGCTATGGGAAGAGATAAGTGCATTAACACTAAGTGTGGAATGTTATGTGTTTAAGAGACAGACAGAGAAAGAAAAATCCTGAAAAGGAGTAATCTATGAGATAGGAAATGAACAAAGAAAAGTTAAATTAGAGAATGAAGGAAAAATTTTCAAAAACATGTCACTTGTCACAGGAAGTTCAAGCAAATTAAAAACCGAAAGTTGTGCATTGGGCTTGAGAATTAGGAAATGACTGGTGAAATTAAGGAAGAGGCATTTCAACTATCAAAGGAACTCCCACGAAAAGACCTTACATCTGCACGAGGTTTAGTGCACTTTCCAAACGTACATTCATGTTGCCGTTGGTAGAACCTGGGCTGTGGGAGGGGAGGGTACAACAATGCACTACAGAAGAAGGTTCTGAGGTCAAGTGCCCTGCTAGTTCCTCACTGCACTAGGACCAAAGCTTAGCTGGTTGAATCCTCCTCCTGGGCTCATTCCAATTTGTCATTTTAAAATATGAGAGGATTCCTTCCAGATCTTTGGAAAACCTAAAAATAAGATTTCATTCCTGTGTGTGGAAAACAATAAGTATAGTCTAGAATAACCTTGCAAAATTTAGAGATAAATTAGTTATAAAAGAGTCCCTGACATTTATAGTATTCCATCAAAGCATCTGCCTGCTACCAGGTGAAATTCAGCCAGGTGCCTGGAAACTGGTAGGGCTTAAAAAGTCTCATGCTTTGACATGTGATAATGTCACTTCTCCCAAAACAAATCCTTTACGTGTGCAGAAGTTACCTATGGATTACAGGCTTGCAATTTGGATTTTTCAGAGTTAATAGTTTTAGGAATTTGGACCTTCCTGGAGAAATTTTTAAGGGCAATCAGAAGTTCTTGAATGAGAAATATTATCTGCATACTTGTGTTCATATTAATATAAATACCACCTATATAACCTCTGCCATGTAGGACAGAGAACTACATATTGCTGAATCTCCAGTGTCTGGAATAGCAATCCCAGTGAATGAAAGGAGATACTTACCTGTTCATTTAATAGGCACTGAACTAAAAATACTTTTTAAATGGACACTGTTATCTACTGGGAAAGCCAAAGAAGTAAAAGACACAAAAAGGTAAATATAACAATAGAAACTTATTAGTAAATGAGAGGTACACATTTGACTTATGAAAGTTTGTTTTCGATTTATACTACAATGGAAAAACCACAGCTGTTTTAAGAAATCTGTGCTAGCTTAAACTAATATTTTAATAGACAAGAGTTAATTTAGTTATGCTTTATTTTTAAGCACCTTTCTTGTCTCTCTACAGTCTACTTGGTTTCTATTCGAGACCACACAAATGCCCAGTCATATGTCAAACACAGAATAAATTTTGCTCTGGCATTTAAACATGGAGGTAATAAATAGGCATCTCATCTCATGGAACTCTTACATGGAGAATGATAGCATGATGATTGGTAGAGTCACTTCTAATTTTACTTCCTAAGTATTCTTATGTGCTCTCTTTTCTCTGTCCCTTACCAATGACATCCTAATCCACTGCAACAGCCTCCTCATTGGATTTGCTACTTCCATTCCTAACCATCATTATCTTCAAAGCCACCACTGAATATCTGAAGCACCAATCTGGAAACATCACTCCAAGCTTCATGCCATCACCATGTTTGCAGCATGCCTCAAAATGTATTTCTCAAAAATAAAAGTGCCTGGACTGGGCAGAGGTGGGGGATTGTGTGGGTTGGGATAAGGAATCAGGGAATTGGTCTATGAGAAATATTTGAGAATCATATTATTAATATATTATATTCTTGAAGATTCACAGAGCACATTTATAAATTAAAGGCTCTGAGAAGTGGTTCAGGAAAGAAACAAACATAAAATTTCTTTTACCCAGTATTTTCTAAGAGTATTTGACCCTGGAACTTTTCCACACTTAGTAAAAAGACCTTTAAATATGCATTACAGAAAACACTGCTTTCAAAATTAAGTCCAAGCCCCTTATCATGGCATATAAGTAGGGTGACCATACTTTCAGTTTCATTGGCACAGTCCTAGTTTATGCTTGCTTTCCTGGCCTCCTGTCTGCTGAGCATATTCTTTCATTTTCAAAAGTGCCCCAGATGATATATTATATGGTCACCTTATCTATAAAGACCACATGATCTGGGTGCTGCCTTTTCATACATCAAAATGTGCTTTGAAATATGTTAGTTTAAAGATCTTCATTTCTGTTTGCTCTCACCTCCCTCCCAGCAGCTAGCTCTCCAACCAAACACCCAGGATTTTCTTATTTCTGTGCTTTGCTCATATAGTTCCCCTTAACTAGAATATATTCTTTCTTCTTCCCCATCTTTTATGTAAATTCTTTATTTTGAAATAGTTTTGACCTTACAGAAAGTTGCAAAGATAGTACAGGGTTCTCATATAAACTTCACCCAGGTTCTCCCAATGTTAACATCTTACGCAACCATCAAAGCTAAGCAATTCATACTGGGACAGTGGTATCAACTTAAACTACTGACTTTATTGGGACTTCACCAATTTTCTACTAAAGTTTGTTTTGTGCTCCAGAATCCAGCCCAGGATACCACGCTGTGTGTATATAGCGTGTTTCCTTTGTCTTCTCCCATCAGTGACAGTTTCCAAGTCTTTCCTTATTTGTCATGATCTTGACACTTTTTTTAAGAGTGCTGGTCAGGTATCTTGCAGAATGCCTCTCAGTTTAGTTTTGTCCAAAGCGTTCA